GACGCAGCCTGGCTTGACCTGCATCATTTTTTATGTATACTTTTACTTGGTCGAGTCTTGAATTATTACTTAGCTTTTGACCCAGATGCTTTCAAACAAAAAAAGAAAAGCTATTTGTTCTCGTATAAATTATTCTACTTTTTCGATTTTTATTACTGCACTTTCATAAACGAGTAAAAAAATCCCTCGTTTTCACCCTGCATTCATAATGTACTTTCTTGGAAACGCAGGTATAAAAGAATCATATTTTATATAAAGAACATAACTCTGTAACAAAGTGAGATGTCTGATCCTATAAACACTAGAATGATATATTTTCTTTTACGTTTTAGCCGATTTTTCAAATATTCGCTGAAACATTTTTGAGTACAAAAAACAACAAAAGCAAACGTGCTTGGTACATTCGAGAAACATTTCTTTGTAATGAAAGTCGTTCAATTTTATCTTGAATAAATAGTAGTCTTATGAAGTGTTGTTAAAGTTCATTGTTATGTAATAAGAGCTTCTAAATTTAGCACCTAGAATTAGGTTTATGTTACAATTAGAAGAAAATATTTTTTTTTCTCTTACTTCTGATGTATTTTTTAGCATAAAGTTTCCAAGTTTTATCTTATTATTGATATTCTACTTATGACTCGTCTGAGCGATGCTATTATCTCGTTAACATCTTTAATACCTGGCATTACTTATTTAGTAAGGTACAGTTATTTGTTTTATTTCTCGAACTAAGAGTGTGTTATAATACGTGTTCTAATCTATCTTGCACGTTACACAGTTTTACAAGCAAACATATAACAGAATTTCACTAACAAGTCCGCGTATCAAATCAAAAATTTCTTGGAAAACAAGTACTTTACAAAAAGTCAGCAGTGTGATTCAGTTATATTAAGTGGGTGTGTCTGAATTCACTAATCCAACTTCTCAGCAATACAGAGGACTATAACTCTGTTATTGAAAATTAATTGAGGATTAAAACACAAGTGCAGAGTAAGAAATGAGAGGTTCAATATCAAACAGATTATTTTAGTCCTCATGCTGCTTGAAAGAAACGTTCAGTATAAGACAGACTGTTTAATTGTCATCTTGCTTAACAGAAGTGATCAACAGAAGACGGACTGTTTAGTTCTCGTGTTGCTTAAGTGATCATTATAAGACAGATTGTTTAGATCTTATGTTGCTTAAATGATCATTATAAGACATTGTTTAGATCATATGTTGCTTAAGTGATAATTATAAGATAAACTGTTTAGTTCTTATGTTGCTTAAAAGAAACCTTCTATATAAGATTGACTATTCAATTCACAGGTTACTTAAAAGAAACCTTTTGTATGAGATGGACTATTCAGTTCACAGTTTGCTTAAGAGAAACCTTCTATATAAGATGGACTATTCAATTCACAGGTTACTTAAAAGAAACCTTTTATATAAGATAGACTATTCAGTTCACAGGTTGCTTAAGAGAAACCTTCTATATAAGATGGACTATTCAATTTACAGGATACTTAAAAGAAAATTTCTATATAAGATTGACTATTCAATTCACAGGTTACTTAAAAGAAACCTTATTTATAACACGGACTATGTAATTCAGGTTGCTTGAAAATATGCTCTTTATGTTACAAAAATTCAGTCATTGAAAATCCAACAGTTATCATTAAAATGTAAATCAACTGGCTGCAAAAAGTGGACTATATTTGATGAAAAAAATCATACCATACTAAATAGTTCTCAGTACGTGTTGAGTTAATAAGAAAGTTAAAGAAAAATGTATTTTTCTAATAATGTTTTTGGCTACTCAGTAATTCGACATTGCAATGTTTGTATATGCTTAACAAATAAACTATCATAAATAAATATGTTTTTTTCCCACAAGACTCGAGTGAGTAGAGAAATACACATTAAACAGACCAATTTCAACCTACCCGCATATTATAAGTATTGTTG